ATTGTAATTTTGTTTGTAGTCTGTGAAAATAGACATAAATATGATATAAAATGTAATTAATTGCATTTATTATAAATGCAATAAATAAATGTAAATAATTATTCATAAAATAAGTTTAATAAATTACATTTATTTTATGAATAAAACTAGTATATATTCATAAAATTTTCTTTGCTTCTACATTTCTTGACATGTGGCTTGAGACATTATACAAACAAAATGGAAACAAATAAGAAGGCTTGATTACAGTATTTATGTTATTCCTTGTCATAGGCAGGTCTGTTATTATTCTTATTTCCAAATGAAATTTATAACTTGAGTTTTTTTAAAGAGCCTAAAGAATTCAACAAATATCTTACCTTATTCTCCAAGTTTCTTGTTTCTTTTATTTTTTGGTTTATTATATATTCTAAATATTCTCCCTCTTTTAAATAGAACAAAGTTCACTTACATTTTCTACACCAATGAACTGTATCAAGTTGCAAATTGTCTGAATCTTAGTATAAAATTCAAAAACTTTTCCATATGTTATCTTATTTGCTTATTATATTTGGTAATCTGGACAACTAATTTGATAACAAAAATATGCAAAATAACAACCATTATTGAATTCCCAGCGTCTTGTTTAGTAAAATTTTGTATTGTTTCTAATGTTTTTTATTATTTTTTATTCTCTTTAAAAGAAAAAAAAAAGTAAAATAATATCCAAGAAAATTCTTCCCATTTTTGCCCAGCAATATATATGAAAGTCCATAATTTTTAGGAAATGTTTATCCTAAGTTTACTATAGATTATACCAGTATTAGTTTGTTTGTTTTTTATTTGTTCCAAAGTTATGGAATATAGTATATGTAATCATTTAGATAAGCTTTTCTTTAGGAGCCAACCTACAAGTTTTACACCTGACCTGAGGGTGAACAGGGATGGAAAACAGTGAAACACAGAATTAAGTTAAAATGTGGGGGGCCAGGGGCTCTTCTCTGCCTTCCACAAGGAGCCTTGTTTCATTCACTCAGACATGGGGACAAGCAATCATAGCAACACAAGGTTCATCTGCTTCCCACCCTCCATATAGTACTTATTCCCGTAAATAACTGTATCTCAGCTGTTTTGAGCCAGCAACATATCAGTATTTTTGCACACTGCCTTTCTCCTTAGTGCTCACAGAGGAGGTAAATTATTTCTCAATTCTTCCTATCTGGTCTCCCACATTCCCCTCTTTTTGTTTTTATAACAGTTGAATATCAATCACTGCTGTTCAGCCCTAAAGAAAGAATGTAGGTGTAGTTATTCTATCCTTTGTCTTGAGGTGTAGCCTTTAATGAATATACCTCCACCTACAGTTGTATTGTATGAATTCTGCTTCTTTTTGAGGGCTCAGTCTTACTGGGCTGCCTATACTTTGACTAACTTAAGTTTCTCTCCTATGAAGAAGTACCCGTAACTGCTATGAAGGGGTCATGGGCAGAGACCATTCTGGCTACTTCTAGGCAAAGAGGGGTGTAGTTGTGATCAACAGTCAGAGATAGCCCCACCCCCATGAAGGTCTATTTAGAGCCCCTTAATAGACACCAGACAATGTCGTCTTGGGTAGATGTTGATGATGGATCAGCCTTTCTGCCTCCTAGGTTGTTTTCCTCAGTTGTCATCTGGGAGAAGGTTCTCACTGGTGAGAGAACCTAGTCAAGTTCCTCCACGGGTCTATCACAAGGAGGACTTTTCCATGGTCATATAGTCGTAAAGGGTACTTACACTGTCTGTCCCTTTCCTGCAATGACACAAGCAACCCCTGCCCCCATGCCAACAGAGTAACTGCCCCCCATTTTTTCATCTCTGGGGACCACCACTTGCACCTTCTTTTTCTCATCCTCTTGTACTTCTGACTAGTGTAATTCCTTTGCATGCTATATATAACATCAAGAAGATTTAAAATATTAAGTGTAAATACTGCAAGATTCAGGCAAGCTTGTGGCTTGTTATGATTTATTTCCCCTTTTTGTTTTTCTAACTGCCATTTTAATGTCAAATGTGCACACTCAACAGTAGTTTGTCTTCGGGGATTACAAGGAATTCCAGTAGAATGACTCATCTTCTATTGTTGCAAAAATCTTCTTTGAATGTTCCTGCTTGTAGAGGCAAAGTAGGAATCCAGTTTTATTTTCTTAGGAACTCTCATCTTTTCAAAGGCGGAGTAACAGTGTTGCTGTATATGCCCCATAGTCTTGACTGCATGGCAGGTAGCATGCATAAAAGGAGAGTAAATATCTATACTAACACGTGCATACTAAAGTCTGCCAATTTGGAATATATATGTTACATCCACTTGCCATAGCTCATTTGCCTGAAGGCCTCAGGGATTATAGCCTTTTGAGTGAATCCCTGTAGGCAAAGTTTGGCATTGTTCTGGACAGGATTACACAATGCAGAGTACCTGTGATCTCAAAAGTTTAAAGCTAGAGGTAAGGCTTGAATATTCTGATGGAAATAAAATGAGAAAGCCTCACCTGTTGAAAAATCGAAGTGATGAATCTATGAGCATGTTGATTTCCTTCTGCCATTGGTCTACGAGGACTGGAGTCTCAGCGTACATGACTTGTATAAAAAGTGGTAGTCTTACTCTGAATGGCTTCCTGTAATCACAAAAACAAATAAAAATGGAAGGGTAATTAGGTTTGCTTTTTATTGTGGCTGTCTCCAAATGATTAGTGACATTAATTACATAGGAGGAATTGCATAAAACGTTAACAGATTCTGCCAGATTACATTCTATTTTTTTCATTATTCAGGCTTTTATCTTTTTAATTTTAAAGAGAAAACAAGACTAACAAATAACAAAAACAAATAGTGATGCCTATTGGTTTACTGAAAGGAACAGTTAATGCTTAAGTTGTTTTTGACCAATTTTGCATGCTAAAACTGGTAATCTGAACAACTAATTTGAAGACAATATACAGTATAAGAACCATTGGTGAATTCCTACCATCTTGTTTAGTGAAGCTCTGTATCATTTCTAATGTGTTCTTTTGTTATTGTTTATTCTCTTTAATTTTTTGATCAATCTTGCATTCCTCTATCTCGTAATCTGAGCAACTTTGTTGAAGATAACAATATGTCAGATTGCATTTTATTACCACAACTACAGAAATCAATTCTGATCTTTGAGTGAAAAATCTAGAGGTGATTTTGTGTTTTGCATTTCTAGTGATTTTGCATGGGCCAGTAAGCAGCAAAAAGACAAGATCCATCTTTAAGGCATTCATGAGAGGAATTATCTGAGCATTTTTAGGCAAGATTAATGAAAAATGACAGGATAGCTGTACAAACCTATCAACAATATAACGATTATCAACTAATCCTGTATAATCTGCAAAGACTATCTGGAAGACTAAGGAAGTTTGTAACAAATGAATATGTTGTGCCAGATTAACAGGAAGCACAATACCATCAGGATCAAATCCCAAAACCTATGTGCTGTGGTGATGGGCTTGCTGAATTAGCTTAGCCATTTGATCTGTATATGACTAATGATTTTTTTGTACACTGATTAGGTAAATAAAGCCATTCAATAGGTTGACATTTATTATTCACTACTTAACCAAAAGTCCAGTAAAAGAGTAAGGAGGGGGCAGCTCTAAGTCTTGAAGATTAGCATAGAAATTTTAAGTGTCAACCTGCAGAGGGGTCTGACATGGCTAAATGCTTAACGTCTAAAGAAGTTAAGTGCAAAGCTCCTAAGACAGACCCCAACAAGCCCAACATGAAAGATCCCTGAACCTCATTGCTCATGTCCCTGGATTTTAATTCTTTCAGCAAGTTATACTTCAAAGGATTGTGTTCATGAACATCTCAGTTTGGATTGTTAAGGTCTTAGGATAAATATTAATTGGAAATGCACACGTTCTGAAGGGTTTTCCATTAAGCACAACCTGTCTGGTCAAACTTTGACAAGGAGACATTACTTCTGTCTCAACCACAGATGGAAGGGAAGGAGGAAGAAGAGGAGGAAGAGAAAGGGACCAGGGCTTTTCACATTCATTTTAATCTTCTCTCAAGGGTCCAATAGGTGTGGGACATTTCCCACCATTAAAGGACAAAGAACTCCACAGACCAAGCTCTATATGAAGAAAGTTTCGGGGGAAATGCCCTGGCTCTGAGCATGCTCCAAACCCTCTCTCATTCAGTCCCAACTCTCTACATCAAATGTGACCATTTGAAGAAACTAAAGACTAGGTTTGATAACATCTTAGGTGCTAATTTGATTTTTTTTTATTTTAAAGGTAAAAGAACAAAAATATATTAACAAACACACATACATTTAGAGAATAACACAAAAACAGTACAAGCAATACAGAATTTCAGACAAGGTGATGGGAAATTAACAGTGGTTGTTGTATTACATATTGATATCTTCAAATTGGATACTCACATAAACAAACATAGACATTTAAGATTAATCAAAGCCTTAAACCTTAACTGTTCTCTCAACAGAGCAATAAAATTCAGTAGTAGGAACATGTTAGCTATCCTGTGAGTGCCAGACTGGTGTAACAGAATGTCCAACAAAAGGATATAATGCTGTGCTTTGATGAGCTCTGCCCCATTACCTTGGCTGAAAAAATTTTCCACGCCCACACACGTTCCTTTTTCTTTTTTCTTTTCCCTTTTGCTGGCTGGCTCCTCTGCTCTTCAGAACCCCCATTGCTTTTTCCCAAGGCAAACTTTCCCAGGCAGGTCCCTGTTCAGGGGCCACTTGTAGGAGCCAGCCTATTAGTTTTGTAACTGACCGGGGGTTGAATGAAGATGAAAAACTAAAAGACACAGAATTAAGTGAAAATATGAGGGGCTGGGGGCTCTCGTCTCCCTTCCAAAAGGAGCCCCAAGCCTCTGGCTTGCCCTGCTTTTGTTCACTCAGACATGGGAACAAGCACTCAGAGTAACACAAGGTTCATCTGCCTCCCACCATCCATAGCACATATCTGGGTAAATAACTGAATCTCAGCTGAGTTGATTTTTCCCTAGAGCCGGCAACATTTCAGCACCCTTGCACACTGCCTTTCTCCTTAGAGTTTGTAGAGGAGGCCAATTAAGGCTCAATTTTTCCTATCTGGTCTCCCACACATTTTATTATTTATTTTTATCTTAAGACAGGTGTGGGCATATAGACATTCCACATAAGAAAAGTCCTCAAATTCAGTATAACCCAAAACTAAATTCGTGGAATTCTGCTCCAAAAGTTTCTTTTTTCTGAATTCTCTGTGTATACGAATGGTGATTGGATCCTTGGTATTGTCATAGTGAAAATAAATCTTGTAATCTTTGTGTAGTTTTTACATTTTTCATAGTTAATCTTCATTAATTTCCACTTAATTACATAGATTACAATAACTTTTTTGTGTATGTGTGTGTCTTTTTGAGACATGGTCTTGCTATGCAGTTCAGGCTGGCCATGAGCTCACTTTGTAGCCCAGGCTGGCCTGGAACTAGCAACAATCCTCGTGCCTCAGCCTCCCGAGTGCTGGGATTACAGGCATGCACCACCACACCTGGCTTATAATAACTTTAATATGTTCACTTCTTTACATTTCTATTTCCCTTCAATATTTTAAGCTTTTATTATTTCCCTTTTTGTCTATCGTAATAGTTATGTTTTCTCTATCGCATACCTCATGTTCAAATAAGTTTTTACAAAGCTGCATAACCTTTGCAAAACAAACACAATCACATTGAACCTTATTTTGATTTTTTGTGATTGAATTCATCTTTTATGTGATAAATTTAACCCAATATATGAGGCTTGGCCTCTCAGGTTGGAGGACTTGGGCCCATAGTAAGCGGTGACACGGTGAAAAGAGGAACACCGGAGACCAGACTGATGGCACAGATCTGTTTTATTGCGCAAGTACCAGGTGTTTTATAGAGCAGGTTAGGGGTGTGGCAAAGGGGGCATGATCACCGAGGGGAGGCACTGAGGGAGGGGCAGAGCGGGGCAACCCGGGCGGGGAGACTCACTCGGTCTGCCAAGGACGTAACAAGTCCAAGTCTGCTTAGACTCATTCCTCTGCCATGGCTATCAACCAGACTTCTGGGCCTTTATTTCCCACAAATGTACATGATATGCAAAGCTCTCCTTGACCTGCACACTCTGCCATTTTGCTCCTATCTCAGTCTTACTGAAGCATCTTCATTTTCCTGAAAAGGGGATGATCATTCAAAAAATTTTGTGCATGTTTCTGTTTAGAATGATCACTCTTTGTTCTTTGTTCATTGTCCATTGAGATGATTCTTGCTCATCTTCTAAAACTAGATGAAGGATATTCAACTTTCTATAATATACAAAATTTCAATAAAAATTTTAATGGATATAACTTCAAGCTTAGCCCAATGACCACTAAGTAGGGGCCGTGGAAGTGAGTTCTCACTCGTGTCTGACACTATCTCAAGGGACACAGTGTCAGAACTGAATTGAGTGAGAGGGCTTTTTGCTTAGTGTTTGGAGAAAACTCACATATCTGGGATTTGAACAATTCCAACCCATACTGAATGACTGTGACTTTGGCCACTGTGAGAGTAGTATTGGTGTGATGGGCATCAAGCCACCCCAATGATATTTCAGTTTCCTGCAAAAATATGCAATAGGTTAATGGAATATTAATTTAATAGACTCATTACACAAATTAATTTTTACTAACCAATTAAATAAACATAAACTCTGGATTAACACTTTGATATCTATTTCTCTTTATTGCTCTTTGTCACTTTTGAGGAAAGGTATGGTCTGTCAGTGCACTCTTTCTTGCAGTTCCATCAAGAATAATGCTCTGTCCTAATCCCATGCCATAATACATTCTGCCTCTTTTGTCTAATGTACTCAGTCTCCTTTCCTTGACTTGATGTTGTTTGTGATTTTTACTCATTTCCTTGTCTCAGTCGATCCAGTTAAACTTTCCTGACCCTTAAAACCTGGTTTACACATCCTGTGCAACTCTAACTTTACCTTTGTCATGGTAAACTCTGTGTATCAGTCAGATATATCTCTATATGTGACTGATACATCTCTATATCTCTTCCAGTATAAAGTAATTTGCGCTATATCTCTATAAAGATATATCTCTTCCAGTATATCTCTATAACTCTTCCAGTATAAAGTAATTTGCTGAGTTGTGTTTATATTTCTATAAATATATAGAATATATATATCTATATCTCTATATCTTTTCCAGTATATATCTCTTCCTCTATATCTCTTCCAGTATAAAGTAATTTGCTGAGTTGTGTTTATATTTCTAGGCCCCAGGCACATTAATATTAATTAATCTCTAAAGAAATAAGATAGGGGCAAGAAAAAAAGGAAGGGAGAAAGACTAGTATTTTGATGCACACAAAGGTATTTGTTTACATTGGGGAAATATATATTTATTTCATACAGACTATGTTCTAGGCCCTTAAAAGGCACTAGCCATATATTTAGAACAAAAGTTAAAAATGGCCACTATTGTGAATGTGCATCTTAGGAAATGGCAAAAGAACAGGGAAGATCAAGGCATCACCCTTTCTGAGACCACTGGCTCAGTAAGGATCCTTGTCTAATGTTTTCCTATATGCCTGGTCATTTTTTCTCTCCTTCAGTAACATAGCAAGTGCTATTATGTGTGCTTTGAGTCTATGTTAAGGCATCTGGCTGCATCCACTGGGCAATATGCACTTCCTCTTCAAAAAGTAAAACTGCCCTCTTGTCTCTCAAGCTTTATTCCTGGGCCATCAAGTGCAGAAGGGCTGTTCTTTGATGAAAATTTAAATATGGTGTCTTGGGTGAGAAACCTGGAAGCTGGTGGTTTGCATCATTTTGAATATTACACATATGCTCTTATTCTATACTGTCATTATGTACCTTTCTTTCCTTATTTAATATCACTCTTGGATAAGGTATTTCTGTAGATATTCTATTTGTCTATATAAATATGCAGTCAACATGTAAAATGCTACACACTACACTTACATAGCTCTTTTCATGATTCGTGTATTAGTGAAAATTTTGCTCCTCTTGTTTTAGTATCTACCTTTGTTCTCTTTCTTTCTCTCTCTCTCTCTCTCTCTCTCTCTCTCTCTCTCTCTCTCCATCTCATCATACACAGTCTCTCTGGTCACCCACCCACATAATTATTTTCTTAGCCATTTGGAAAATATTTCCATACACGATCGTATTTGCTATTAAATATTTCAGCATGTTTACCTAAGAATAAAATTATCCTCTTAAATAACCACAGTACACTTACCACTTTCCATGGATTTACAATCAGTAAAACACTTTAAAAATAGCTCATCTTTATTCAAATTTGTCACTCAATCCAATAATATACTTCAAGAGCCTTTCCCTTCTAGTTGGGATTCATTGCAAGACAGATATTCCAATTCAATGTGGTGTTTCTTTAGTATGCCTGAATGTACAGCAGCCTTTTTCTTTTAAATTTTTTTCCCTCAGGTTAAAATAATTGGGTGTAAAGTTAAGTATCTTATGGTGAACAATTCAGGGGAATGCATTAAGTTCATAATGCTACATTAATCGCCAACTTTATCTACTTCTAGGGCATAGTCATAATTACAAAATAGAAGTTCAGATCCATTACACAGCCACCATCCCCACTTCCCTCCTGACTCTGGGAAACTACGAAGAAACACTGTGTCCCAGTAGATTTACCTACTCTGGATTTTTAATATAATTATAAAACATGGGGCATTTAGTGTCTGGTTTTCTGTACTTGGAATAATGTGTCTGAGGATCGTTCATGTCATATCATGTTTCAGTACTTATTTTATTTTATGGTTGATTAGTGTCCCACTAGGGATGTATATACCTGTATGCATATCATTTTTTGTTAATCCACTCATGCATTAGATGATAGAGCAACTTTATTAGAATTATCAACTTTCAATGTCTCACTCCTAGTTAAAGTACAAAAAAAAATCTCTAGGCTTCTCCTAATTTTCAGATGAGCCTTTTATGCTAATGAATGAATATTTAGACCTTTTTTGAAATTTATAAGAGCAAGCACATTTTTTTCTTACACTGTGTTGACTAATCCAGGTTTCATGGCTGTTTTTCAGATGATCATCGTTAATTAGTTACCATTCCTACTTATCCCCAGTCTTTAAATTTTCAGGCTCCTTGTGATCTTTTAAAACAGGACATAAACACATACATACATATCCCACAGGGGTGGTTACACACATACCTATTATGCAATTTGGATACATTAACACATTTGGCAATTTTATGCTTTGACAGTGATCAAACTATGATCACCTTTCTGGCAGACAAGAAGAAAATACCTGCATTTTCACACATCAAACTTTTCAGCAATGATGTATCTCCCAGGGAGCATCAGAGACATGCAACAAAGTGAAAATGAATACACTTAAGGCCGGATGTGGCTACTTGAGCAGGTTTCCCCTCCCCTTGAGCACCTTACACACTGCTGACCTTATCTGTTTGGTTTTTAGACTATAAACCAAAGGATTAAGGACAGGAGTCAAAAAGAGGAAGAGATTCGCCATGGTGACGTGGAGAATAGGAGATGCAAATGTGCCAAACCTATGAATTAAGGCCAGCATAATGAGCGGCACATAGAAAATGAAGACAGTGAAGATGTGGGAAATGCAGGTATTCAGTGCCTTGAGCTGACCATCTTCAGAGGCAATGCCCAGCACTGTTTTCAGAATGAAGATATATGAGATGACAATGAACACAGAGTCAACTCCAAAGGAACAGAGGACCAGAGACAATCCATAGACAATATTGACTCTGACAGGGCCGCAGGCCAGCTTCATCACATCAGGATGATAGCAGTAACAGTGAGATAGAGTGACACCCTTGCAGAAAGGCAAGCGCTTGAGCAGGATTGGTAAAGGTGCCATCAACACCACGCCCCTAACCACTGCTACAAATCCCATCCCGGTAATCCGAGAAGGAGTCAAAACCACAGTGTAGCGCAGGGGGTTGCGAATAGCTACAAATCGGTCAAAGGCCATGGCCAGCAGGATGGCTGATTCCATGGAAGAGAAGGTATGAATAAAGAACATCTGTGTTAGGCAAGAGTGGAACTCAACATCCCTGTGATTCAGGAGGAACACATTGAGTACTGTGGGTAGAGTTGATAAAGATAGACCCACATCTGTAGCTGCCAGCATAGATAGGAAGATGTATTGGGGCTCATGAAGGGTGGAGGTGGTTTTGATAATGAAGAGGATGGTGCAGTTCCCTAGCAGAGCAATGAAGTACATGATACACAGAGGAATAGAGAACCATATTTGTACAGCTTCTAGTCCAGGGATGCCCATTAGAAGGAGTGATGGTGGCTGAAACCAGCTACTGTTTGTAAGCTCCATGAAGAGTATCTCTTGGATTGCAGCTGGATCAGTTTCCAAATATTCCTATTAAAAGGGAAAAGAAGTATAAATTTTAAGTAGGAAGAGATAATGTATCTAGCTCACCTGGCCCAACATGAATTCTGGACATGTTTGCATTAAAGAATTAAACCCTAGATGGTTTCCATTTATATAAATAACTATCTAGAATTAAGATAATAGGTAACTATTATTAAAATGTAAGATCAAAGAGAATTCTTTGGCCTAAACCACACAATCAGGGCTCAGTGAAAATGAAAACTAAAGAGTGTATTATTTTATCTCCATGTTTAGAAAATTAATCATTCTACAAAGTCTTAAGGAAAAATGATCAAAATATATTATATCCATGTACCAATATGGCAATATAAAATACACAGTTCTGTATAACTAGTGAGCAATTTTTTAAAAGTACTCCTCTTTTTAGTATTACTTAATTATATTGTATCTATTTTTATTTTCAGGCATCTTTTCCAAGATTCTTAAGAAGTTCTTATATTTGCTTCCACAACTACATTATACCTGTAAATACTCCAGCTTCTTCAAACATGAGCGTGTGTTTTGGCATTTCTCCCTGAAAAACAGACCACATTACATTATATGAGCCCACACAAACTCCAACTCATCTTTGGAAATTTCATGTGATGCCTTCAATTATTATGATGAATTTCTCAATTGTTTAATATTTTCTTTTAAAATATGTTATTTTTCTGAATAGAAAGCACTCATTAAAATATGAGATGAAATCATTAAATATGATATTTTCACATTCCTTCTGGTACTAGAAGAGTATCAAATATCAACAAATAGTTACTTGCAAAACATTTTATATATCACTCTTCCAAATTATAAATATAGTACTTAGGAATCATAAATAACCATAGTAAGTAAAAGTCCTACAATAGCACAATTGGAGGAAGCAATATTATTCTATATATTTATCTGACGTTAAGAAAGAAGAGGTATTATTTATGATTGATTGAATTCATTTAGATTCAAGTGTGGTAACAATTGTAGTTTTCCATGCAGCAACAGAAAATTCTGATGTGATTACGTTTGGATATGGAAAACAAGATAGAAGGGAAATAAATAACTGGTTATACAGAAGACATGCAATCTGAATACCATTTTGGCTTTTGTAATATCATATTAATTAAAAATACTGCTGAAATTAAAAAGAAATACTAGAGAAATAATTAAGCAAAAGCTAATGAAGGAAAAAGTCTGCAGACACAGAGAATTGCGACAAGAAACTATTCTTTTTGGGGCTGGGGATTTAGCTCAGCGGCAAAAGCGCCTGCCTGGCAAGCGCAAGGTCGTGAGTTTAGTTCCTGGTACCGAAGAAAAACCAAAAAAAAAAAAAAGAAACTATTCTTTCTTTGTTCTCAGCCAAAATTAGAGATTTTGTTCTGTTTTAGAGCTTTGTACATGTAAAAGAAGACCAGACAAAATTACCTTTATATCAATATATATTTGTCTGCAAATACACATAACTTTCTGTAAGTTTTAATTATCTTTCAGGAGCAGATCTCAGATGAATCACAATTTGCATATCCTTATATAAACTGCTTAAGTCCTTCAAGCAGATATTCTTAGCTCCAAATGTCTACTGTATCCTACTACATTTTTCACAGAATAACTAATAATGAGTGTTTTATAAAGTACATATATAGATGAAGGAGAATCATAAATAACACACAGAACCCCTGGAAAAACAAGAATTTTAAAGAAGGTTTGAATACTAAGGACAAGATTAGCTTCAGGCAATTTTCACATCGGTTCACATTGAGTATCAGGATCACACAGTTTGAGAAGAAAGGAAGGAAAGGAGAAGGAAGCCATAGTGCGTAACAGACTAGAGCAATATTCACACCACAAACGACTCTACTGCTGCTACTCAACACATCAAGTTTCATTACACTAATAAAAAGGAGTTCTCTTATAAATAGACAATCCTGACCAATGACAATCCTACACCAGTTTAAAAACATACACAAATACTCATAATACAGGTTCAGATTTACATTTATAAGCTGCTGTTCAGGTTCCTGAACTCTTGTCTGGAATATCCTGGAATACATGCTGTTCTTTAAACTCATCTTTCCTTCTGTCTGTAGTAATGAGTATCACTATCACCACCACCAAGAACCACCGTCAGCATCCTGCAACAACCAGTGCTCAGGTATACACTCAGCCTATATCAGTCCTGGTTGATATTTAATGCATATGTCTGTAGACCTGATCCTTTCCAAGGGCAATGTCTCATAAATGATTTAATGTTTTGGGTCACTCTCCAATCTAATTAGATTGATTGCTTCAATCCACTGGAAATAATGTACTCATTGTCACCTCAGAATTTTTGTGTACCTTTGATCATATTTTTAATTGCAATAATTATCTTGACTAAAAGTGATTGCCTCAACTGATTAGAAGCCAGTTTATATTCTCTATTAAACATTCTCTATTAAAATATTCTTATGTGTTGGATATCATAAGAATTAACTATTAAATTCTTTTCAATATATTATTTTTCCTACCCTTGAGATTTACTACATGATTTCTTAATACCGCTTTTCTACTACCTAAGCGCTAAGATTGAGATTTCACACTTCGCATATCTCACTGAGGTCATGTTTTAACATACAAGGCACCTAGGAAGGTCTGTTTAAGTGAACACATTCATAGTTTAGATAGTTTTACTACAGCATATGATCCCTAATGCCGAGAAAAGATATAATAAAATATACCAATAATGAACAATGCATCCATTATAAACAATGATGTACAAAAAGTTTGAGGAGGGTCATACTTTCTTCTGGACTCAGAATTGAAGATCAGATGCCACTGAACTCTAAAGTAGAGGAAGAAGGGTGTATCTTCATATAGGCAATACTCAAGCTGGGTTTTTCAGCTTTTACAATATGTAATTATCCTTCTACTTCCTTTCTATTTATCTGTGTGGTGGTTTACCCACCCTAGACAAAAAAGATATTCTTCAGACTATTCCAGGAGATCTAAAGGATATTTAACTACTTTTAATTATTTAACTTTTCCTTTAATGGTTTATTTTTAACCTCCCCTAAGTTCCCTCTCTAGACATATAATTTTTCCAGTCATTCTACAAAGAACACTGCTTTCTTGTTATAGTACTGACTCACCCTCAGGCACCCTTCAACTCCAATACCATTCCTTTTGGTCCCTCACTGAGGCTTTTTTAATTTTTCATTCTCTTAACTTTGCTGTCTCTTTTTCCTTCAAGGAACTGGAGCTTCCATGACCTTAAATTCTAAAGCCAAAGAAAACTTCAGTTAAGCAACTCCTAAAGACCATGCTCCCTTTCTATTAATTTAATGAGCGTGCTCTGTGGTCACCTCATGGTAGTAGAAGTCTCAGCTCAAGTTAACAAATGATGCCAGCAGCACATTTCCTTCAGTATCAGCATCCTTGCCATAGATGAAGAAGGAATGGATTTTTGAAATGTTAGAAATCTCAGATAGAGGCATCTGCCTGGTACCACAGTTATTTATTCCAATAAATAGTACATTGTGAAACAGAAGGTGGCAAAGGAAGATTAGCCAAATATTCCCATGAGAAACCTTTCAATACACCACCCAGGAGATGCCACAAATACAAATTACTTGAAATCAAGGCAATTCAAAACTTGGTTTCATCAATACTCCAGAGTCCTTAATTTATCTCACATTTAAGCATGAAATCACTTGTGTTTCAACTTTCCAGCACAATCATGTAATGAGCTCTTCTTTTATATCTGCTTGTTCCTGAGAAGGGACTATTTAGAGTTCAAAACTGGGTTGGAATTTTGAGATAAATAAATTTGAAATGTGATTTTTCAACCTTCAGAAAAGCTGAGGGTTAAGGAATACCTCTTTGTTACTATTGTTATAAATGTCCATTATTGCCATACAGTTTTATAATATTGCAATGTCAGATTTTTTAAGAAACAAAGGATCATTTAGTCTGCATTACTGTGGCCTCTTTGCAAGGTTTGGCTTTCTGTTCTTTTTACCTGTAAAGTTATTGGTGGTAATTTTCCTTCCACATTTCAAAGTTTTAATGGATCTTTCCTCTGGTTGTAAGTTTTTACCCTCTTTTTATGTTTTACCACATATTTCCTCCTATATCTCCAATGCCTGAGGCAGTTCCTGGTATACAGAAGGAAGTCAGTATATGTATGGTCAATGAGGATTAAGTGGTAGATGCCTCTATTTTTGACCAAGATGAAGTAAAAGGGGTTAAATTTATCTTCCCATCTAGAACAAGCAGAACAGATAGAAAAAAAATGTATGAGGTAACTGTTCTTAAAGCAATGAGTACCTGGCAGCATAGGCCATAATCTCTGGGGGTTTTTTTGTTGTTCCTTTTTGGTTTTTTTTTTTCCAGTACCAGGAATCGAACTCATGACCTTGCACTTGCCAGGCAGGCACTGTGCCACTGAGCTAAATCCCCAGCCCAAGGCCATAATCTCTGAAAGAAAGTTAGGAGATAAGGTAAATATTAAAACTGCCACACCTCATACTTTGTCAGAGTTTCAAGGTCGTGATAAAATGAAGAGAAACCTAGACAAAGCCTGTGCACTGCCAGAACTGAAAAATCATTGATGAGAGTAAAGTAGAACTCAAGATTAGAGAAGGCAGAGAGAACAAAGTAAGATCTGCAGAAAGCCGCCCCATATATTTATTACCATATTGGCTGTTTGCAAGTTATGTTAAAAAAATTGTCTGGGACCACATTTCACAGAGCACTGTGTAGAGTACAGAGAATAGAGCCCACGAGTGGAAAGTAATTGATTCTTCAATAATGTCTTGTATATATGCCTGGTAAGTCTTACAAACAACACTGTAAGGGTCAAATTGTTTCCAGATCATTTAAACAAAATATCAGAACAAAGCCTAAGCCACTGATCCATATATATATAAAGCCTTAGCACTTTCTTTTTCTTCTTTCCCTCATCCCAGTTCTTT